TATATATATATATATATATATATATATATATATATATATATATATATATATATATATATATATATATATATATACGGGGTGAGGAAAAAGTATGGAAACCCTGAAAAATCTAAGTGAAAAAAATATAAGTTTTACAGAAAAATGTTTCAAATAAAAGTTGTAGGATTTAAAAAGATCTATTCAATAGTCTCATCAGTTTGACTCTTGCTGGCGTCGTTAAGATGAAGTCAAAGTCATTTTGAATTTTTTAAATAGAACATCCTATTTTTTATTGCATATTCTTATAGTCCTTCTCAATACCTTTTCAAAGAACTATAATTTTATTCATTTTGGATCAGCCGTTTCAAAATTATTGAGTATTTTACAGTAAGAAGTAATAGACACCCGAAGACAAGGTCGGAATATGATCCAGCCAATTAAGGCAAGATCGGAGGATGATCTAAGAGCTTAGATTAGCTCAGTTGAAAACAACTGAGAGTGAGTAGCCGTGAAAACAGCTGAGAGTGAGTAGCCGTGAAAACAACTGAGAGTGAGCCAACTGAGAAAGAGCTGAGAGTGAATATGATCTGGCCAACTAAGGAAAGATCGGAGGATGATCTAAGAGCTTAGATTAGCTCAGTTGAAAACAACTGAGAGTGAGTAGCCGTGAAAACAGCTGAGAGTGAGTAGCCGTGAAAACAACTGAGAGTGAGCCAACTGAGAAAGAGCTGAGAGTGAATATGATCTGGCCAACTAAGGAAAGATCGGAGGATGATCTAAGAGCTTAGATTAGCTCAGTTGAAAACAACTGAGAGTGAGTAGCCGTGAAAACAGCTGAGAGTGAGTAGCCGTGAAAACAACTGAGAGTGAGCCAACTGAGAAAGAGCTGAGAGTGAATATGATCTGGCCAACTAAGGAAAGATCGGAGGATGATCTAAGAGCTTAGATTAGCTCAGTTGAAAACAACTGAGAGTGAGTAGCCGTGAAAACAGCTGAGAGTGAGTAGCCGTGAAAACAACTGAGAGTGAGCCAACTGAGAAAGAGCTGAGAGTGAATATGATCTGGCCAACTAAGGAAAGATCGGAGGATGATCTAAGAGCTTAGATCATCCTCCGATCTTGTCTTAGTTGGCTGGATCATATTCCGACCTTGTCTTCGGGTGTCTATTACTTCTTATTGTAAAATATTCAATAACTTTGAAACGGTTGACTCAAAATGAATAAAATTACAGTGCTTTGAAAAGGTATTGAGAAGGACTATAAGAATATGCAATAAAGAATAGGGTGTTCCATTTAAAAAATTCAAGGTGACTTTTGACCTTAACGACGCCAACCAGGATCAAACTGATGAGACTATTAAATAGACCTTTTTAAATCCTACAACTTTTATTTAAAACATTTTTCTGTAAAACTTATATTTTTTTAGATTTTTCATGGTTTCCATACTTTTTCCTCACCCTATATATATATATATATATATATATATATATATATATATATATATATATATATATATA